TGGTACGTAATCCACATGACTCATAGGGTGGATTATCGATTCTTGTGTTCTGCATTAAACTATTTATAGTTTAAGGGCCTGGTTAGAAGTATTGCCTTAGACTAGGAATAGTTAAGAACTTGTTATAAAATAATTTGGCCTTAGATTAAGAATAATTTAAGAGCATGGTTGAGATATTGAATATCAAATGACTTGGAATAAAATATTGAGAATATCAGAATGTTGAATCATATATTGTGTGCATGATATCAAATGGTTGATTATGAATTGAGATTCAATTTATTTGGATGTTCGACGCTTTAGATTTGTTTACTCAGCTTCATCGCTGAGCGTGTAGTATGTTTTATTTGCTACACGCAGGTAGACAGAATGAGTGAATGGCATGTTCTTGGCAGCAGAAGGGGCGAGACAGTCGTGGTGGATCATTGAACAAAATAAATAATTATGTTGTTATGAAACATGTTTAAAAGTCGCTTCCGCATTATTATTAAACACTCCGCATTTTCTACAATTATGTATGGAATATTATTTATAAATAAAAATGTTTGAAATGTTTTAAATTGTCACGATTACCAAATCAATACTTTAGTCCGAAAGGGGCTGCAGACCTGGACGGATTAGGGTGTTACATTAATAATCTATATGTTAAGATAAATCAAACAAGATCACACATGACTATATTTAGGCTTACACGTTGAGAGAATTTGATGAGTCAAAGAGCTTAGAAGAACAGTTCCAAAAGTCAAATGTGGACAAATACAGGGGGACGGAGGGAGTATTTAACTTCCCCACATTTATTAATGCGATAATCACAAATTAATTACTTCCCATTTTGGATAGGATTATGCTATGTGTACCCCAATTTGTACCCCGCAGTTTTGCACCAACACTTTGTGTTGGTGTAAAACTAATTTTTGTTAAACGCACCAACATTTGTGTCCGTGTGAATTTTTTATTAACGCACCAACACTTGTGTCGGTTTAAACCATTGAAATGTTTGTGCAAATCTGTGGTGTACAAATAGGGTATATTTTTTGGGGTAAGTGTAGCATGGTCCTTTTGTATAAGTGTTGCGCCTCACCACATACTCCGTAAATTTATGGTCCTTTTGGATAAGTGTTGCGCCTCACCACATACTCCGTAAATTTAACTTCCCCACCAATGATATCGTATTCAGAAACCAGTACCATCACCACGCATCACATATTTACTCCGGCGTCTGAACCCTACACCCAATCGAGAATCCAAAAATCACAGATCAATTACGGAGTATTATTTCTTTGATTCTTCACACGCAAGAACGGATCGTAACGACGGGAACTAGACATCAACAGTGAACCCTAGCCACACTCCATGGATCTCCCAGACGCACACCGAAAGGGAGACAGTTCGTAGAAGCTACCACCAGGTACTACCCGGTTACGACCAACGAAAGAAACATAGCCAAATACAGAACAATCTTACAATCGATGGTGTTTTTAGGGTATAATTTTCAATCAGTAGTTGTTCTCATGTTTCCTCTGACTTTATGTTGATTTCGGCAACGATGAGCGACAAAACGAAGACAAATCCAGCTTACATAGGGTTTTCGAGGGTATGATTGTTTTGTAGCTATTTTTCAGTTTCCTCTTTGTGTTTATGTATTGAAATTCTGCTCATTGTCTATTTCTAGTAGAATAATTCATATTTTTGGGCTTGAACAAATCTAAAACTCTTTGCGATATTGTGAAATCTTTGATTTCATTTCTGTTTTGAACCCAATACAGCAGTATGTCACTCCTATATGTTATGGTTAAGATTTAAGAATTTTTTTATTTTATTTTTAATTGATAACTCTTAAGAATGATTCGGAATCCTTGCTTAAGAGTTGTAATTTACACTTCGTATAAGTGTGTTCAATCTAAAATATGGAGTTTCTACTTTCTAGTTCACTTTGTTGTTTTGGTGTTCAAATGTTTGGATTTGTGTTTATGTATCTGATTTTTATTTGAAAGGCCATAGGAGCATATTGTTAATACCAAAGGTAAGCTAATTAACTACTTTACAGATAGTCCTTGATTAATGCTCCTTGCATGAGTTTCTACGCGAAATATCCATGGGTCCTCTTTTGGTCAGGTATTGATAGCTTTTTCATTGATCAAATGGTTGCTCTGTTAGTAAGGGAAGTTGCAGATTGGGACACCATTAGGTTTTGTTCTTTGCTAAACAAAATTGTGCAGGTTATCTGGACAACTACATCTTGGAGTGGAGCAATAGTTGGAGTTTTGCTCAAAATATGAGTGGTTAATAGCAACTTTGGCTCAATAATGCAGGTTCTCTAAACCACTACAACTTTGAATTGAGCAGGTGATATTTTTTTAAATAATATGAAGTATAAAACTAAAGCAGAAAAACTCAGTTGAGATATTGTTTAGATGTGTCTTAGAAATTGGAGTCCAAATGGCATTGTGGCACTGCTAGGTTGGGTTCCAAGGGGCTATTTTCGATGCTGAAGCAATGCCATGATTTGTGAAGGCCATGAACTGCATTTTCACTGCAATTGCAGCTGGTTTCAGGGCAGTTTTGGGCGCTCTAATCTCTGGTTTTTGTGTGAGCTGAGGACATGATGCTGATGGTTTTGAGGGCTATTGGAGTGGCTTTGCTGTGGTATACCGGAACTGATTTCAATTTAATTGTGGCCTTGCGTATGGACTGGAATAGCAGGTCCTGCTGCCAATTAACTTGTTTTGGGCAGTAAGTTCAAACCATAGTGAGTGGTTGATAAACACCTGCTGAAATTTGAACATTCATTGATAAACACGTGCTGAAATTCCAGAAGTACCAATTATTTGTATCAAGTTTTGACATTGTTATACTATTTAAGCTATTTTCTTAGCCTATTAGCTCAATGGTAGAGCTTTGTGTGCAAAAGTACATGAAGATGTGGGTTCGAGTCCCACATAGGCTTTTTCATGAATTTTAAATATTAAAAAATGATCTTTTTATATGTGTGGTGTCTTAAAAACATATATAAATGTGGCAAAATAAAGCATTAGCCACATATATAAGTGTGGCTAATGTATTTATTAGCCGCACTTATTAAAAGTGTAGCGAATTTTTCCCCACATTGTCACCCGCCACACTTACCTCATTTGCGGCAAATAGTCTCCCCCACACTTATATATGCGGCGAAGAACAATTTTAAGTGTGGCCAAATACCATTTTTCTTGTAGTGGATCCTATCCCAGCTCACTCCTCCCGGGACACCTCAACTCAATGGAGTGTGTGAAAGGAGGAATCGGACCTTACTTGACATGGTTCGGAGTATGATGAGTCTGACGACACTGCCAGAATCTTTTTGGGGACAAGCACTCCTTACTGCTGCTTACACTCTTAACTGTGTTCCATCTAAGGCTACTGAGAGCACGCCATACATGTTGTGGCATGGGAGAAAACCAAGTTTCTCGCACTTCAGAATTTGGGGTTGTGGGGCTTACGTTAAACGTCTCATGACGTCTAGCAAGCTTGAGCCCAAATCTGAAAAGTGTATTTTTGTGGGATACCCCAAGGAAACGAAAGGGTATGAGTTCTACCATCCCTCCTATAACAAAATCTTTGTGGCACGGAGTGGTACCTTCTTTGAGAAGGAGTTTCTCTCTGCTATTTCTAGTGGGAGAAAGGTATACATCGAAGAAATTCAAGAGCCGCAAGAAGAAATCTCAACAGAGATGGAATATGAGCCTGAGGTTCAAACCAATGAACCTCATCCTGCTCAAGGTAGAGATATACCACGTAGGTCAGACCGGACATGTAATCCTCCGGTCAGATATGGTTTCCTCATGTCTGAAGAGGGAGACGTCTTGCTTGTAGACCAAGGCGAACCCGAGACCTACCTCGAGGCAATTACAGGCCCCGAGTTCGAGTCATGTCTTGAAGCCATGAAATCCGAAATGGAGTCCATGTACACTAACAAAGTTTGGGATTTGGTTGATGCACCTGATGGGGTCAAACCCATTGGATGCAAGTGGATCTTCAAAAAGAAGATAGACGCGGACGGGAAGGTTCATACCTTCAAAGCTCGATTGGTTGCAAAAGGTTATAGGAAAATCCAAGGAATTGACTATAACAAAACCTTTTCACCAGTTGTTATGCTTAAATCCATTTGGATCTTGTTTGCAATTGCAGCATACTATGATTACGAAATTTGGCAGATGGACGTCAAAATGGCTTTTCTTAACGGGAACCTCATTGAGGATGTCTTTATGACACAGCCAGAAGGTTTTGAGATACCAGGTCAATATACCAAAGTATGTAAGCTGCAAAGATCAATCTATGGATTGAAGCAAACATCTCGGAGCTAGAATATCTCATTCCACAAAATCGTGTCAAGTTTTGGTTTCGAAAGGAATAGTGACGAACCTTGTGTATACACGAAGGTCAGTGGGAGTGTAATAGTATTCCTAGTCTGATATATGTTGACGACATATTACTCATGAGAAATGATGTTCCCACTCTAACGTCTGTTAAGACATGGTTGAGTGAGAACTTCGCCATGAAGGACTAAAAAGAAGCTAGTTATGCCTTGGGCATACGGATTTACAGAGATAGGTCAAGAAAGTTGATTGGTCTGAGCCAAAGTACATATATAGACAAGGTCCTTAACCGGTTTAGCATGGCTAGTTCAAAGAAAGTATACTTGCCTATGAGCCCTAGCACGATTCTATCCAAGAACCAGGGTCCTTCTACTCTAGAGCAGAAGGAATTTATGATGAAGCTTCCATATGCTTCTGTTATTGGATCCATCATGTATGCCATGATATGTACTAGAACGGATATCTCTTACGCTCTAAGCATTAAGAGCCAATACCAAGCAAATCCAGGCGAACCGCACTGGACAGCAGTCAAGAACACCCTGAAATATCTTCGGAACACTAAGGATGTATTTCTAGTATACGGTGGGGAGGAAGAGCTAAAAGTGATCAGTTACACTGATGCAAGCTTCCAAACCGATAGAGATGATCTCAAATCACAGGAAGGTTACATCTTTTGTTTGAACGGCGGAGCTTTTAGCTGAGTTCTAAACAGGACACAACCGCCGAGTCGAATACAGAATCTAAATATATTGCTGCAGCAGAAGCAGCTAAGGAAGCTGTTTGGGTCAAGAAGTTCATAACAAAACTTGGAGTGGTTCCTAGCATTGAGGACCCCATATCGTTGCTCTGCGACAATAATGGGGCAATTGCACAGGCAAAGGAACCCAGATCTCACCAAAAGACCAAACATATTCAGAGACGTTTCCATATCATACGAGAAATCATTGATAGAGGACACGTGAAGATTTGCAAAGAAGGGACTAATGACAACATAGCCCATCCCCTGACCAAGCCATTGGGAAAGCTAAAGCATGAGGGTCACACTAAGTCGATGGGCATTAGACTTATTCCAGATTGGCCCTAGTGCAACTGGGAGATTGTTGGAGTTGTGCCCTAGGAGCCAACTCAGATTGTAATATTTCTATCATATAAAGGCAGATGTAATAAGTTTACAAATGTCTCATGCTAATGTAAACTCTTTATTACATTCCTAGAATTATAATATAAGATGTTTTATCAGAATGAGTCTTCTGATGTTCAGACTGACATCTTGTCACTTAGTATAATTCTGAAACGGTATATAGTCGAAGCATTAGCGAGAGTGGGATATCGTTAATGCGTGTGAGACTAGTGAGAGTTAGATGTTTGACCTAGTCTCTTGGTCAATGACGGAGTGTTCGCATCTACTCTCGGGCAGATATTATCGTTAATAATAGGATGCCAGACCTGACCCACCTTAAGGACATTGCCTAGACTTTTAGTCTATGCTCTAAGTGTCCTTAATGCGACTATTGGTATAACGATCCTTAGACTTGAAGTATTACGTTCTTCGAATGCGTGAACCCGTATGCTTTGATTCATTGTCCTAAGCCGCATGAAATAAAGATGGTACACAGGCTTTGTATTGGGCATGCCGTTGCACGCATTAGGAGACGTAGATTACGTACAAAGAATTTGTCACTGTTACTTTAACAAAATAATGTCTTCCAAGGGGCCCACTAATAAGTATGACTAAGGAAATGCATGGCCATGCTGAGATGACTTTTGACATCTTTTCCCGTCGGTCAGACTTGTTAATCAGTAAATAACTTAATGGCTACAAGCTGGATATTTTATATCCCTTGCATTAAGTTAAGACATTGGGACAAAAGGATCTACGTTATACAAGGTCTTAGTCGTAAAAAGCTTTTGACGGAGCAAACGTCTGAACTTATAATCTGGGGGTAATAATGTGTTTCTAGATACAGCTTATTACTTATAGTATTTGTGTTGAGTCAATACTGTGGCGAGTTTTATAAGTGCCTATATGGGTCACACACTTTGGACAATTTAAAGAGTAGGATTAAATGAAGGGATAATATTTAATTTCTATATTGTAAAATAGTAAAATAAAATGTTTAATATATATATATATATATGTATGTATGTATGTATGTATGTATGTATGTATGTATATACTTATTATATGTACGATGTATGTGTGTGTAATATATACTCCCTCCGTCCCACTGTCTTTGTCCACTTACCTTTTGGCACACCATCCAATGCACTTCTTTAATCCATTTTATCTTGTAATTTGTATATCAAAAAATTATAGAAATTATATATTAATAATCTATATGTTAAGACAAATCAAACAAGATCACACATGACTATATTTAGGCTTACACATTGAGAAAATTTGATGAGTCAAAGTGCTTAGATGAACAGTTCCAAAAGTCAAAAGTGGACAAAGAGAGTGGGACGGAGGTAGTATATATAACGTGTACATATATGTATATATTACTTTATATATATTATATTGTGTACAATTTATTTTGGAGTGTCATTTTAATTATGAAAATAATAATTTTGACAAAAACTATTTTAAAGTATATTTTATATACTTGTTTTAAAATGTTTTGGGTATTTTATTTTATATCAAAGTAAACAAACTTCTTTGAGAATTCTTTACTTGTCTCTGACATTTTCGAGCGAGAATTCCAATTTCCATATCACTGAATTTGTTAAGTCTTCAAAGAGTGACATCAAACCACAAAATGAAATATCACAAGTTTTATTGGAAATCTCAAGAACTCGGTTTTAAAAATATTTCTAAAAAGAAAATTACATTGAATATTGGGAGTGACCTAAAGTTCCTATTGCAATCTAAATACATCATCAAAATTTATAATTTTTCCAACAATTTCCCCCTTTTTGATGATGACAAACAAGTGTTTAAGAGTTCCGGTCGCTGTATTGAGAACTAATTTTATAACATTCTTTTAGTTTCTCATAATATTCAGCTATTTTTGCTTGAAAGTTCAGATGGCATTGTGTTTCATGGATCTCAACATCCAAAGTGGACATTGAGAACCCGCCGCCGAGTCTTCTTGCGTCAAGAAGATCTTGGACGCCATATCTTGCATACGCGACGACATCCGAGTGACCCATGAAGATCTCCGAATGACGAACTCGAGAATTGATCGGTTGGTGGAAAGCATGCATTCTCACCGCGGCCCCCGGCATAGCCATTCTGGCATCTCTTCTTGCCCTCTTTTTATGATGAATGTTATTTTATGGTTATTGCTCTATGGTGTATGTCATTGAACTTATCCCTCGTTTTTAAAACCTTGTAATATTTTGGGTAATGCTTGACATTGACTTTTTTGTGCTTGCCTTGTGATTATGAAAAATGGTTTGGCAATATTGTCTCTATTTAGGAATATTGTCCCATTGTTGAAAAATGGAAATAGTTAACTTTTTAAAGTAACCTCTTAGCAAAATTTTTGCAAGATTTTTTTTATAGCATATCATTTTTTGGGGGCTATCCTTCATATTGTTTACCTCATACATTGTTTGAGGGCGAAGGTATCTTTTGGTATTGCCAAAAGGGGAAAGATAATTGAGAAAACTTTTTCAAAAACTTCCACTACGCCAAAAACAGTGTCAGACGACTATTGATTAACTATTGTTTATGGAAAAACAGTAGTTTAAAAAAATCAGACTGATGTTTGTTGTTGTTGGCTACAAAAGCAGTAGTCTAGCTATTATGCTTAAAACTATTTTTAAAGTTTTGAGAAACAGTATTCTATTATTAGTTGTCTGTGTCATATTAAAATACAGTTTTTTTATCACAGTTGTCAATAATAAGTTAAGAATACTCTTTTTAAACAGTAGTCTAGTTATTTAGTCTAGAACTGTTTTTATAGTTATGAGAAACAATAATCTATTGCTAGTTGTCTATGTCATATACTCCCTCCGTCCACAAATAAACTTTACGTTTACTATTCACATGGTCAAACTTTATTCACTTTGTTGGCCTATTTTCGTCACCCATTTGATAAAATAATATAGTCATGTCACCTCTAGTTTTGTATATCTTTTGATATAGTTTTTTAATATGTAATTTTTATTTTTCAATTCTACACCATTTTAAATATAAAATGATTTGAAAATAACTTCAGTCAAACATCGTAACGCGCAATGTAAAGTTTATTTGTGGACGGAGGGAGTAGTATTTTTGGCACGGTTGTTTATAATAAGGATACAATACTCTTTTTTAACAATTGTCTAGATACTTAGCCAACATCTGTTTTTAAAATTCATAGAAACGGTAATCTATTAGTAATTGTCTGTGTCATATCAAAATACGGTTTTTGTTGCCACAGTTGTTTTTAATAAATTAAGAATCCTAATTTTAACCAATAGTCAGGCTATAAAGCCTAGAACTATTTTTAAAGTTATGAGAAACGGTAATGTATTACTAGTAGTCTGTGTCACAATGGGGTTTTTTTCACAGTTGTCTAGAATAAGTTAAGAAAACTCTTTTAAAGAGTAGTGTGGATAGTAAGCGTAGAACTGTTTTTAAAATTATATGAAGTGGTAATCTATTACTAATTGTCCGTGTTATATGATTTTTTTGCTAGAGTTGTTTATAATACGTTAAAAATACTCTTTTTAAACAATAGTTTAGCTATTAAGTCTCAAACTTTTTTAAAGTTCAAAGTAACGACACTACAAGAAAAAAAGGATACAAGGACACTAAAAAAGTGTCATCTATCATATACAAGGACTCTTTAAACATGTATCTTCTATCAAGGTGTCATAATAAGTCTTGAACAATGACACTTAAATTGTGTCCTCTTTTCCATACTAGGACTCACACAAAATATTCCTATTGTGTCCTTGAATAAAAAAGAAGACACTTAAAATGTGTCTACATATAATCTATTATGCGTCTACTTTTTTTTATTAGGACTCTTTATGCCCTCTTTTTCCTATAAAAAAATATAATTCTTCACATCATTATTAAAATTGTCAAATAAGGAGTATAACACAAGTATTCCTATTTTACAATGTAGACTACAATGTAAATTTAATTCAAAGTTGTTACACTTTTACAATATAGACTTCATATATTTAACTTGAATATAGTAGCAATATGATCAAAATCTGCTACATACATGATCCAACCACCTCCGCCAAGTCTACTTGAACTTCACCAATCTCTACATGACTGTATGCGTTTTTATCTTGTCCTGACCAGATTTTTGTGCACTTTGAAGTTTCTTTAGTGCAGAAATGGCTAAAGAATGAACTCAAGAGTACAAAGTGTAAACTTCCTTCCGCTTTCCATCAAAATAATATGATTTGGCCTAATAGAAGGACCTGCAACAACATTTGAGAATCCTATAATTAATTTCAGCCTTCAAAGTTCAGGAAAAAATAAGTAAATGAATTTTAGAGATTTTGAAACAAGGAAGATTAAGATACATAGTACTATCAAGAGACACATGATTGCTGAAACTTCCAAGATCTTCACACTCTAAGATCGATACAAGTTCACCATTTATACACCTAAACGAATTGTAGGCACGAAAGTAGGACTTGAACAAATAGTCAATGTATGAAACTTGAACTATAAAACATTTTGGGAAATAATATAAAACGGAGGGAGGAAGTGCAATATATAAACCCTTATATGTAAAGAAATCATATAACAGGTTAAGCGTAAGGTAAAACACAAAACAATTAGACAGCCACATCTTACAAATGCTTAGCTTATGTAGCTTGTTTGGGCATTTTCCCACTTTTCATCATACACACATTGTTTAGAAAGGATGCCTAAAGAAAAATCCAAGCAGAAACTACTCATATGAGTTCATAACACAAATTATACTAAGCAATGAGGCTCTTCTAAAAGAAGAGTGAATTGCAACTCACCAAAAGGTGAAAGCGCAAATATCATCAATCTCAACCCATTAACATTCAAGCTCAACACCTTTATCAAGACTGCAGAATCAAGTAGAAAAATTTGCAAATCAGCATTGTAGAAATTTTAAGCTATAATAATTAACATTATCCATTACAACATAACCTAGCAGGGCATATCAACCACTAATGAATCCAATTAAGTGCGTGAAGTAAAATAAAATTAGTGAAGTAAAAAAATCTACAACCAGGGCACACATTTCTACAACAACTGATAAACCCAAATAATCACATAGAAAGAGTTTACTTTAAAAGAAAAACTCAGTGAAGTTAAAATAAAAAGAATAAAATAGATCCTCAGAAAGATTTGAACTTTGTTACATGTTTTTAACAACTTCTAATATTTGTGATACATAATTAGAGTCAAAGTAAATTCAATTGAGTAAATTGCACCAAACCTAGAACATATAGCTCACCAACAAATGCCTGTATCCAAAGAGTTTAGATAACCTTTTTCCAAAGTTGGACGTTCACTAAAGAGCATATACCAGTATTCATACAAAGGCCATTCCAGTAAAATCATAATCACCTTCATCAATAATTAGCACTGTAAAAAAATTCATCACAATAACAATAATACTCTCCCATTTATGAACATCTTTAACGGCAAAAAATGATTATAAAACCTTTTTATAAAATAGAATCCTGAAGTATAGATTAAGTTGAGTATTGATAAAAATCAATTTGGTTAAACAAGGTCACTAAGAAATAGATCCGAGATATACATTCACGAATGAAGAACTCAGATTTAAAAACTACTTAGGGTTTAACCCAATCAAAAACAGAATCTTTCTAGTAGATTTGATGCTTACATGAACATAAAAAATTAGTTCAAAGGAAATACCAGACTCAAGATAGTCATGTTCCAAATTTGAACTATAAATTAGTTCAAAGTTATATTCCAAATTTGAAAATACCAGATAGAAAAAATTAGTTCAAATTCAACAAACAAACATGCTAAAAATATGAGATTTGACCTAAATTGAGATGTTTATCCTTAAATCCATGGTTCTCTACTCCATTTCGCGGGTCCTCTCTACTTGAAATCGTTGTCAATCCGACTCTATATGTGCTTCTCGCAGTTTCGGTTCTCATCTTCAACGTCTGCTTCGTGCTTAACCAAGAGGAAGAGCTTCGCTCATCTCTGCGTCATTCCTCTCTCCAATCTCAGATTTGTAATCGACAGAGAGAGAGCCATCTGAGATTGATGGACGATGTTCTCTATCGGACAAGAGCTGGTGGTGATAGATTTTCAAGAAGATGACGGAAACTATGGGACAATGAGATATTTTGAACAGGAGACCTAATTGCGAAATTGGGGCAGATATTGGGCGGGCAATGAAAAATAAAGAGGGATTCTAAAATTTGAGATGAACTTGAAAATTTTTAGAACAGCAATCATATTTTTGAGGAAAAATGTTCCTATTTGTCTTCCACCCCCTCCATTACCACAAAAATGGGCAAGAGACTAAAAAAATTAAATAAATAAAAATAAAATATAAATCAATGGTGGAAAAAGGGGTGGGGGACAAATGGGTTACACCTTTGGTGTACCCCTAGCAATACTCATTTTTGAAACAAAAAATTTTTTTGCTCCATAAATTTTCTCACTCTTATGTACCACTTTCAATTAGGGGTACGCAAAAATACCTGTTCGATATTGTTTCGAACTAGAACCATAATGTACCGAATCGAAAAGTAAGTTTTTAAATGGTTCTAACAAATTATATCCCGAATCAAACCGAACCGTTTTCATAATAGTACAGGATGGGTTTCCAAAAAATAAATAGTGAAAATACCTAACTGTTACCACTATAATAATAAAATAATAAATTAGTTATACATTTTTTTATTTGAATTTCTTACTCACATGGATCCAATTCCACAAGATACCCATATCTTTGACCATATAACATCATACCGGTATTGATAACTTGTAACGCCCCAAAACATACCCTAATATTTATTGAATTAAATATTCAATTAAATAAATTTTGTTTTGATTAAAAATAAATTGTTGTTGGGCCTTGGGCCAAAATAAAATATGTTTTGATATCCAATGTCATAATCCGGATAAATCTCATAGAGATAAATCCAATATGTTGACTTACTGTGTGACCTTGATTGAGAATCTGAGTACAGACCCAAATCAAGAATAAATGAAGAATTTGTTTGTGATGTAAACTTTGAAATGATTTATTGAAATAAATAATGAGAATAAATAATATGAATGAAATGTAAAAACCTTTCTGAATAAAGGTCAACAAAATCAATTTTGACTCTGTCAAAGTCAACCACCTAAAAATATGATGTCGGAAAAAGTATTACAAATAAATATGAAAATTATATCGTTTGATAGAGTTTAATTATACGATCGCAACGGTGCAAACGGATTTCAATTCGGAGAAAGTTGGACCAAAAAAAGGTTCCCCGACTGGGACCAAATTAGTCCAAATCAGGGACTTACGTTTAAAATCGGAGAAGACAGCAGCCCGCTCCACCCAGCCGCCGAAACAGTCGAAGGAGAGGTCATCACTGTGTCTTCATCCTCTTTCACTTGGCTATATAAGGGTCATCTCCATTCCTTCAATTCCTCACCATTTCTTACAAACTTTCTGTCTATTTTGTTGCTGGGAGTGAAGAAAACGCAGTGGTGTTGTCGTATTGGTGTGAGGTCGCCGGAGATAGTCACAAAATCCTCGCCGGAAGTTTCGCCTGAAAATTCTCAAAACCTTCAATAAGCTTCGAGGTAAGCCCGTAGATATATCTAGTGACTAGAATGTTCGTATAGATCGTTTCTACGTTCATAAACGGTCGTTTGGTTGAGTTTTGTGTTTGACATGTTTGAAGAACCAAGAATCATAAACCATTAAATTATTGTTAAAACTATGAATTAATAATTCCAAAATGATCTATGAACCTTGGAGAACATCTCTATATAGTTTTGTTGAAGTTCGGTAACTAAAAACGGTATTTTCGAAATTGGACCCGAACGAAGAAGAAGATGAACAGTAACCAAAAACCAGGCTGTCTGGATCAATTCAAATGGGTGGATCGATCACCTGGGCATAATTCCTCTACATATGGATCGATCCAGAAGGCTGGATCGATCCCCCGAAGTTCTGATCCGAAAATTTGCCCGAAATTGCTATTTTTGAGCTCTAAAATCCTATTTTTGATACCAATTGATTATGATTATTTTAAGGATGATTCTTTACAATAAAAATGATGTTTTTTAACAAATAAAAATGTTATGTGATGCATGACGGTAAGTTCGGGTGTTAACACCCGAAGCTAGGCCGCTAGTTGTTATTGAATATTATGTTGATTAATGATTATGGTAATAACTATTGATTGATGATTATGATGATTAAATCTCAATAAATATTCTGATTAAAATGATAATTGTGAATGATTTAATCATAATAAATATATTGATGATTGTGAAAATAATATATTGTTAAGGGTATCTAGAAGACCTCTAAGATATACCCATATTAATGTCGATTTGAAAGGTATCTAGAAGACCTCTAAGATATACCTATTTAAGTTAGGCCTTGCGGGTATGAACCCCGGTGGCTAGGGTTAAAACGTACGTACGGGATCCAAGAACCAAACTTGAGTACCTACTCGTTTGGGGGTACCACCCACCCAACAGTGAACACTACGCTGTCGGTTTTTGGTTGGCCTTAAGCGAAGGTAAGTTTAAGATTTTCAAAACCCTTTTATCTTAAACTAGGCCTAGCTTAAGGATTATTTAGGAATATTTTATACTGGAATATAGTTTAATTATTTAAACTAAAATTCGTTTAAGGGTTGACAAATATTAAAGTGATTGGCCTTAGACTAAAAATAGTTTAAGGATATTGTTGAATGTTGAATATTGAATATTGAATATTGAATATGAGTAAATATTGAATGATGAATATCGAATTGAATATTGCAATTATTATGAATGACATATGAACATTGAATGTGAATATAAATGTTGAATAATGCATGATGAATAATTTTTAATAACTATTGATTATCTGAACTGAACATTATGTGCATGATATCAAATGATTTGATTATGAATTTAGATTCAGTTTATATGGATGTTCGATGCATTAGATATGCTTACTCAGCTTCAACGCTGAGCGTGTACTATGTTTTATTTGCTACACGCAGGTTAATGAAGTGACGTGATCCTGGAGGCAGACGGAGGCGAGATTGTCGGAATGGATGTGTTGGTTTTGAATTAAAGAACATAAATAAATTATGTTTGTGATTATAATTGTTAAGCTTCCGCAATATTGAAAACTCCGTACTGTTTATATTATGAAAAATATTATTGTGATAAATAAAAGTGTTTGAAATGTTTTAAATTTTTACGATTACCAAGTTAATACTTTAATCTGAAAGGGGCTGCAGAC